GGCCGGGCCGGGCCCCGGGCAGCTGTGCTGTCTGCGGGAGGACGGAGAGCGGTGCGGCCGGGCGGCGGGCAATGCCAGCTTCAGCAAGCGGATCCAGAAGAGCATCTCCCAGAAGAAGGTGAAGATCGAGCTGGACAAGAGCGTAAGTGCGGGCGGGACCGCCCTCCCCGCCCGCCCCCGCCGGGCGAAGCCGGGGGTGTTGGCGGGGCCCCGGGGTCCCCAGCGCCGGCCGCGGCGCGGACTCCTCGTGGGTCCTGGCGGGGCTTGCAAACAACAAAGTCGCGGCAACTCCGCCCTCCGCCCCCGGCTCTCCGCACGCGCCGCGGCTCCCGTCCTCTCCCCGCCCCGACCCCGCCGCCCCGTCCCTGCGGCACCCCCTTCCGCCTTCCTCCGGGGCGCGACCTGCCGACCGAACAAAGGGGCCCGCCCGCCGCACCGAGGGCCTGAGGAGTTTGCCTGGAGCCCGGCAGCCCCTTCTGGAATGGAGGCGCCTTTGTTTTGCTGCCGGAGCTGTTTATTGGCCCCTGGGAGTAGTAGCGCCTCACGTCTGGGGAAGTGGAGTCCTGCGGGATCTTACGCCGCAGTGAGGGGAGATCTGTTCTTTTCCGTGTTTTGTCCCCTTCTCCCGAGAGAGAGGAGAGAGAGAGAGGGAGGGAGAGAGAGAAGGGGCAGCCGAGCTCGCCGCCGCCTTGCAGGGCGCCGGGTGCTCCAGTGTCTGCCGTGTCAGCTCTTAGGCAGCAGCTGCTGGCGTGGGGAGCGCGTAAGCCCCTGCGGTTTGCAGCCCGCGCGGCAGCCATCAGGATTTCTTTTTCCGTCCTTTTGCACGGCCTTTTTTTTTTGGCTCATCTGCAGGGTTTTTAGAAAGAATCCTTACTACTTTTTGGAGCTCTGGCTGGTAGCAGATGAATAACAAGATATACAGCCTAAAATACGTCCTGAATTTTGAAAAAAGAAAAAAACAACAACAACAAAAAAGAAAACAAAAACCATTAGATCAGCCCTTGTTTGTATTATGAAAAGGAGTTAACTGTCAGTATATGAAACCCAACATTTAATGTCACTGTAAAGCTCTCGGCAGTATGTGTAAAGTTTTTTTTTAAAGTTTATTTGTGACACTTTGCTTGTTTAAGCTGCCCTTCAGTGTTGCTCATGAGAAACTTTTCAGGTGAAGGTGAATTATTTCAGATTGCTCTCATTGGAAAAACGTAGTACAGATAAATACGTTCACTTAGTACTCGGAAAAACTAGTAACTGAAATTTAAATGTAGTTGTGATATAAATTCAGTAGGTCATATGTAAAAGTGGAGAGTTGGTATGAGGAATATATTTGAGTATTAAATTAGAAAGCATACTCTACTAAAAAGAACTTTTTAAAATATTTCTTTAGAGAAAATACTATGGAACAGCAAAATGGTGGGCAGCGTTGTCCTTTTCCTTGTCAGGTAAAAACCTAGCGTGAACTAATTCAGGTCAGCCACACTGCAAGTTGACGACAAAACCGAGAGGGTTGGAATTTCTCTTTCTCCTCCTCTGCGGCCCTCCCCGAGCAGGTACCACCCCTTCCTCCGGGGCCCCGCCCACCCTACCCTCCTGGCTCTGTCACCTAACTGGGTGCAGGATTTGGAGTAGGAAGAAACGTGCCATTGTCTTCACAATGACCTGCTTTAACTTACTGTTCATAATTCGCTGTGACTTACGCACTTTACTAGTAAAGAGACACATTTTCACTGTACTCATAAGCAGTCTGTGCGCTTGTTCTGTTTCAGGCAAGGCATCTTTACATCTGTGATTATCATAAAAACTTGATTCAGAGTGTTCGAAACCGAAGGAAGAGGAAAGGCAGTGATGACGACGGCGGCGATTCCCCGGTTCAGGATATCGATACTCCAGAGGTAGAGGAACGCTTCTGTATGTTAGATGGAAATCATAGGTTTTCCATTTTGAAAGCGTTATAAAAAGACAGCAACAGATTTTTTTTTGAATGTTTAAAGCATCTAAGAAATCTAGAAATGAAAAACGAATTTATAGTCAATATCCCTTTACGTAATTTCAGTTGGTATATTCGTTTATACAATTTAAATACTACAATTTTAATTGTGATCTGGGCGCCCTGATGCATGCTGTAATCCCAGTATTCAAGAGGCTGAGACAGGAAGAGCGCTCCAAATTTGAGGCCAGCTTGGGCTATGAGTTCAAGACCAGCCTGAACTACATAGTGAGACCCTGTCTCAAAAAAAAAAAAAAAAAAAACAAAACACATACAGTTTCAATTTTTAGAATTTGAATTCTTTAGGTTTGTGGTCAAATAACTTCCTTGCTTTTGCTCCTAGTTTATACCTGCCCACAAAAATTAAAATGTTTAATAATTTCTAGGTTTTATTATATAAGGTTTTTTTTGTTTTTTTTTTTTTTTGTCTTTTTGAGACAGGGTCTCCCTGTGCAGTTCAGGCTGGCCTCGAGCTCCCTTTGTAGCCCAGGCTGGTCTCTAACTTGCAAGGAGCGTCCTGCCTCAGCCTCCCTGAGTGCTGGGATTACAGGCATGTGCCACCACGCCCAGCTATAAAAGGCTTTTTAAACAATGAAATTTTTATTTTGCTGAAATTGAAATGTTTGCTATTATACATATCTGACAAATTTTCAACAAATTATGTGAACTAATTCATATATGTTTATATTTTCTAGGTTGATTTATACCAATTACAAGTAAATACACTTAGGAGATACAAAAGACACTTCAAGCTACCAACCAGACCAGGACTTAATAAAGCACAACTTGTTGAGGTAAATATGAGTTTTAAGCTATTTAAACTTTAAATGAACTTGTTCACACAAACAAGGGGTCATTAAATGCTAATAAAATTTGTTAAGGTAGCATATATCTGAAACTAAAAGTGGCATACGTGTATAATTCCAGGCTTGGGGAGGGTTGAGGCAGGAGGATCACAACTTTGAGCCCAGCCTGGGCAGTAGGGACTTACTAAAACTCTGTTTCAAAACAAAAAATAAAAAAGGGGGTTGGGGATGTAGGCCTGGGGCTCAATCTCCAGTATACCAAACAAGAAAAATAGAAAAAAAATGAGGGAAAGAAAATCTGTTGAAGAATCAAGTTACCTAAAAACATTTGTCTACCACTTAGGAAATTTCTTTATGTAATGACTACTTCATAGATTGTATTTAACTTGTGTATAGCATCTTCTAAGAATAGTTTTCAAAATGTTGAAATTCCGTTTAACTAGTAAATATTTATTGAACACCTCATTGACATAACAAATTAGCTTCCATGTCTTTATTAGAATTTTTTTAAGTTTCTCCTAGAATAGGCCTATAAGTGAGCCCCTAAAAGTATTTTCATATGCAAGCTTTTACTTATATTCTGCTTTTACATAAGGCTTGTGGTCCTTTGTTTAGGTTTTAAAGCTTAACTTGTTATGTGTATGTGTGTTCTCAGCAAGTAAAAGAATCAAAAACATCTGTGCATGTTACTAGGGTGTTTGTAGATTTACGTATTTCTATTTTAATTATATTTAAAATAAACAATTTAACTTTACAGAATAAAAATGTGAATGCATAAATCAGTTTTCTCGTATTCTTAAAAAATGTACCTGTAAAATAAAATAAGATGAAAGATAGCTGCTGAGGCGGGACACACCTGTAATGCCAGCACTCAAGAGGCTAAGGCAAGAGGATCACAAGTTTGAGACCAGCCAGGGGTATATAGCAAGTTCAAGACTGACTTGAACTGCAGAGTGAATCCAAAAAAATAAAGAAGTTACAATTTTTTGGCAGAATGCTCCATAACGTTTTTAAAATCCAATATATTCTTCAGCCAGAATTTCTTTTCCATTTCTTGCCTGGGTAACAAAGATATAATTTTTCTTTAAATATTATTTAAAAGACCTGGTCCTTTTTGAATTGTGCACCATGTAACTATGTGCATATTGCCTACCATGATGAAGTGTATCAGACACTACTGGAATAAAATCACCTTTGCTCTCCAACAAATGAGAATCAAAGAACTGATTATTTTAAATGAAAACGATTATTTTATTCTCAAGCCTTTTTTTCTTTTCAGTACTAGTGGTTCAACCTAGAACCTTCACACTGAGCTACATTCACAACCCTTTTTATTTTATTTTATTTTATTTTATTTTATTTTTTAAATTTTGAGACGGGGTCTCACTAAATTGCTAAGTTGCCCAGGCTGGGCTTAAATTTGTCAGCCTCCTGCCTTCAAAGAATGCTGAGCTTATAGATGTGTGCCGCCATGCTGAACTGCAACTGCAGTTTTTTGTGTTTTGCTTTTCTAAATAAATATAGACTCTAGATGTGCACATCACCACCCCAGTTTAGTCTTCTGTTGGTAGTGGCAGTGCACCTATGAGATTAAAACAATGAAAAGACAAGGAAGCAATTGGCATGATGGCACACACCCGAAATCTCGGCATCTGGGAGTGTCCAGCCAAGCCTGGACGGTTTAGCTGCTTAGCGACACTGTCTCAGGGGCCAAAAAAAAAAGGCTAGAGTGTAGCTCAGTGGGAAGACCCTAGGTTCAGTCTGAAGTATAAAAAAAAAAAATTAAGAAAAGAGGGAAGCAATTAAATAGTCTTCAGTGAATTTTCTTACCTTTTTCTGTTCATTTTTCTATTCATAATTTTTTTTTCTCTTTTTTTTTTTTTTTTTTTGGTATCTGGAATTGAACTCAGGACCTTGTGCTTTCCAGGCAGGTGCTTGTGCCGCTGAGCTATATCCCTGGCCCTCTGTTCATAATTTTGATTTCTGAAAAAATTTCAAGGAGCCTTTACAAAGAATACTGCCAATGAATCAATGAATGATTGTAATTTATGAATCAAAGAATAACTGCCAATGAATCAATGAACGGTTGTAATAGTGAAGACGTTTATATTTCATGTTTTTAGATGCAAAATGTTTGCAACTTCATATTTATTCTTCCTAGTACTATGCATGTGGACCCTTCTGATTTAGCTCATTGATATTTAAAGTAAACATACTCTCTTCACAATCTAGATCCAATTTTTTTGAGACAGTCTCGCTATGCAGTTCAGGCTGGCCTTGAGTTCACTTTGTAGCCCAGCCTGGTCTCGAACTTGCAACGATCCTCCTGCCTCAGCCTCCTGAGTGCTGGGATTACAGGCATGCGCCACCATGCCCGGCTAGATCCAGTTATAAAATTTAAAAGGAGACCTACAGCTAATCAGTGTATATTTAATTCAGTGGGCCAGAGGGTACTTTGCAGTCAAACTGTCTTTTGTTCAAAGCATCTTTTATTCCTATGTGCTTTTTGTCCTGTTGGTGTTTTGTTAATTTTGTTAAAATTTATAAAAGAAATCTTTCATCACATAGCACTTTTAGAAAAACACCAGTGTATGAAGTCTGTTATGTCAAAAATTTAATTTCCTCCATTTTTTTTCTTTATAGATAGTTGGTTGCCACTTTAGGTCTATTCCAGTGAATGAAAAAGACACCTTAACTTATTTCATCTACTCAGTGAAGAATGACAAGAGCAAGTCAGAGCTCAAGGTTGATAGTGGTGTCCACTAGGGGGCAACGTAGAGACTGATTCTTGGATGCTCAGATGCCCAGACTGTGCTGGTTTTCACATGTAGAAGTGTTCCTTGTGTATTTTTTCTACAGAGGATTTTCTCTGGTTTTATTTTCTTTGTTTCTGACGCTAATAATTAGTTGGGAACTCGTGTACCATGAGCTTCCTAGATTAAGAATATTTTAAATAAAGGTTGTTACTATTATAGTTGTTTCAGTGTATTTATTTTGTGAAACTTGATTATTTCCATTTCAACTGGCTTTTCAGGAATCAGTATTCACTGAGATTTTAATGTAAAGATCTTCATTTTTGTAACCCATTTTTTAAAATTAACACGTTAGGAGAAATAACAAATGTAACACGTTTGCTTTCTCTGGGACAATCTGATTTGGAATAAGGATATCCTAAATAACATTATTTTTTAAATCCTTTATAGTGTTAGATTTGAAAAATAGACTTCTACTGGATGCAACTTCTTTTTTAATTTTACTTTCTGTTACTTGATGAAGTATCAGCAAGAACAAATAATTTATATGCCCACCTCCTTCCAAGGAAGACTTAATGGGATAGCAAAGGTAAATGCGGAAAGTTGAAATAAGACCATACATTAAATAGTTGTTTCTTAAGATTTTGCCTTACTGAAATTTGAAATTAGAAAATAACTGCAGTGCCTCCTTAATTTTTAGTCATGTTCTGTGCTGTTTGTATTGCAAATTAAAACTGAGTTTTGAGAGTTCTAGATATCTAACAAGCTCTTTATTTAAATTTTGGTTATATGTATCTGACTCTATTTATTTTCCTGTTTCTCTCTCTCTCTGTCTCTCTGCCTCTCTCTCTCTCTCTTTCTCTCTCTCTGTCTAATACTGGGGATTGAATCCAGGACCTTTGCCCGAGCTACATCCCCAGCCCTTTTTTTGAATTGTTTATTTTCACATCCAGCCTTGCTAAGTTTCCCAGGCTGTGCTCAAACTTGTGATGCTCCTGCCTCATCCTCCTTTTATATTTCATTCCCTCAGTTTTTTGTCATTTTTAACCTCTACCTTCTCTGAGATTGTATTGCTTAGCTAAATTCTTAAAATTGTAAATCAAATTTATGTCTTATGACGTGAACAAATACAAAACAACAGCTCCAGTAAAATGTTTTGAGTTTGGCTGCAAATTTTAGGCAGGACGTGGATGAGACCGTTAATCTAGCTCAAGGTTTGCAAGGATAACATTGGACCTGGTCATTCTTCGTTATGGGAGGCTTTTCAGTGTTGTGGAAAGATTAGCAGAGTTGATGAAGTGTGCCTAGTAGGTATTAGTAGCTCTCCTAAGGTGTGACAGTCAAAAATACTAGACATTGACAAACATCCCCTGCGGGACAAAACAATTGGTTAAAAACCACTGATGTACCTAAAATGCATCTAAAGTACTGGTTCATTAGAAGGTTAATCTGCATATTTTTAAGTTTTCTGAGTATATGGACATCTAGGAAATATGGTGAACAGTAAAGCAGCTAGTCTGTTCTTGCTTGCCCATTTATAATGATCTATTATAGTTTGATTGATATGCAGAAAGCTGCGATAATTGGTGTTATAGAAACCTTGTCTCTAGTATTCTAGAATTCTGTGTAACCAGTTTTTTCTTAGCTACTTGAAGATGAACCACATGGCTACAATATGTAATGGTTTATTCAGGAAAGTTTTACTTGCACACACAAGTATCTATCTAGTGTTATAGCCCCAGCCATTTTTCATTTTTTTTATTTTCTTACGAGAAAAGATTTTGCTATATTGTCCAAATTGGCCTCAAACTTGATATCCTACTGTCTCAGTGATCTAAGTAGCTGGGACTATAGCACACCACCACATCTGGTCACATTTTATATTTTTGCCTAATCCATAAAGTCTTAAAACTTTTAATAAAAATTTAATAGGCTTGGGGGCTGGGGATTTAGCTCAGTGGCAAAGCGCCTGCCTGGCAAGCGCAAGGTCGTGAGTTCGATTCCTGGTACCAGAAGAAAAACAAAAACAAAAAATAGGCTTAATTTTTAATAGAAAAAAAATTAGTTCGACTTATCTTGCATATAAAAATGCTTTTCTTGTGAAAAAAGCTTGAAATTACTTGTTTGAACTATCCGGTCATGAGCATTACCTTTAACATTAGTATCATTTGCGTGATAAAGCATAGTTGTATAAAATGTGAGTTCCAAGAGGTGATTATCCAGTGAAATTAACTAGGAACCTTTTTACTTACCTGTATCAGAACAAAAATTGAAGGAAAACTCATCTCTATAAGAGTATAGGTTACTTTTATAAAGAGAACAGATTGGATTGCCACTGGAATAGGAGGAGGAAAAAAGCATTAGGGGCTAAAAGCATTAGGTCAGTTATTTGGTTACTAACTTTAAAAGAACAATTAAGGAAAATTAAAAGTTAATGGCTTAAATATATTTCTTTAAAAAGTAAACTCATTTCTCCATAAAATGTTTGAGAAGGAATTTACATAATACATAATCATTGCAGCATATAATTTGGGAGTATTTAGGGTAGTCACAGTGTTGTGTGCCATCAGCTCTATATTTCAGAACTTTTTTCCTTCACCAAAACAATCATATGGTGACCTCCAATGTGCTGTTTGTTCCGATAGGTTTGCCTACTAAAAGCTACGTAAAAGGGAATTACAGTATACATGCAATATATACCCTGTTATGTGTAGCTCCTTTTGCTTAGCATAATGTTTTAATGGTTAATCTAAGTTGTGGCATATATCAGTACTTCTGTTGTACCTATATACCTATCATTTGCTTATCCATTTTTCTACTGATGAACACTGTACTTCTACCTTTGACTGTTAATAATGCTCCTATTAACAGCTGTGTTCAATTTTTCTGTGAGTGTATGTCTTCATTTCTCTTGGGTCTATACCAAGCAGTAGAGTTCTTGTCATATGATAATTCTTGTATTTAACTTTTTGAGAAACTTCCAGACTTTTCCAAGTGACTCAACCATTTCACATTCCCACCAGCTGTGTCTCAGGGCTAGTCTTTCTCCAATTTGATCAAACTTTTCAATAAAATTAAGCTATTCTATTGGATCTGGAATTGAATATCTCACTGTAGTTTTGATTTGTATATCCCTAAGGATATCATTGAACATCTTCATGTGCTTGCTGGGCACTTGTATCAAGTACTTTGTTTTTTAATTGATTTGTCTTCTTGATCTTGAGTTGTAGGAGTTCTTTATTCTGTATATTAAACCCTTATGTGATATACGATTGGCAAATATTCCCTTAGTTGCCTTTCACATTTTTATAATGGTCTTTGATGGGCAAAAGTTGTTAATTTTCGTTTGTTTGTTTGTTTTTTGTTTTTCTTCCAGTACCAGAAATCGAACTCACGACCTTGCGCTTGCCAGGCAGGCGCTGTGCCACTGGGCTAAATCCCCAGCCCCAAAAGTTGTTAGTTTTCACATAGCCCAATTTAACTAGTTTTTCTTTGTTGCTCTATTTTTGTCATTAAACCTAGGAATTCATTGCTAAATCCACCATCATGATTAATGCCCATGTTTTCTTCTAGGTATCTTATAGTTTCTGTTGTTATACAATATTTAGATTGTTGACCACTGAGCTGTAATTTTCATATTGGCTAGAAATCCAACCTTTGCATACAGTTAGCCAGTTATCCCAGGATCATTTTGAAGGGCTTTTTCTTTCCTCACTGGATGGTCTTCACATCCTTGTTGAAATCATGTATGCATAGATGTTGAAATTTATTTCTGTACTCTCAACTTTATTCTTTTGGTCTATTAGTCTTGATTTTTTTTTTTTTTCAATAGTGGGGTCAAACCCAGGGCTTTGTGCATGCTAGGTAAGCACTATACCACTGAGCTATATCCTCAGACCTTTTTCTTCCATTTTGAGATAGAGTCTTACTGTGTTGTTGAGGCTTGAAGCTGCAGTACTCCTTTCCCAGCTCCCCAGTACCTGGGGTTACAGGTGTGTGGTGCTGTCCTTGTTAGTCTTGGTGTAAGTTTTGAGTTCAGGAACTCTTGAGTCCTATTTTGTTTTCAATATTGTTTTGGCTATTTAGGGTTTCTTGCAGTTCCGGATGCATTTGAAGGTTGGTTTTTCCATTTTTGCCCAAAAGGTCATTAGAATTTTGATGGAATTCCATTGAATGTGTACACTGCTTTAAGACTGCTATTTTAACAATAATCAGCATTCCAATCCATGACTATGGGATGTCCTTCTGTTTATTTAGATCTTTAATTTCTTTCTTCAATATTTCGTAGTTTCCAGCATATAAGCATTTAACCTCTTTGGTTAAATTTATTCTTAGGTAGTTTGTTCTTGTTGACATTATTGTAACTGGAATTTTGTTTTCTGGGTTTTTCATTAGTAGTATAGATATACATCTGATTTTGTATGTTGACCCTGAACTTGTGCTGAATTTGTTAGCTCTTGTAGTTTTTTGTGGATTTCATGGGATTTCTGCTATTATATATAAATAAACTTAGTTTTACTTCTTTTTTTCCAAATCTGGATAACTTTTATTTATTTGTTATTATCTAATTGCTATGGCTCAAACTTCTATTACAATGTTGATTAGCAGTGGTGAAAGTAAGTATTCTTGTCTTGTTCCCTTAAAAAATTATTTATTATGCAAGGAATGCATGTGTACTTATTAGCATTTATAAGAAGTTTGTAATTTATAAAATGATCCATTAATGTTCCTACCTTTCCATTTTTGCACCAATGGTTTTTGCTCATTCTTCTGGTTTTTCATAATGTTTCCAATTCTCTTATAATCCTTAACCTAATCTCAGAAAAAAAAATATTCAAGGAGTCTGTGTGGATTATAAGTAAAGAATTTTATCAACAAGAGATGACCTATTAGTATTACTGTCATTTCTGTGCTCAGTGACATGGGATTTATAGTAAAAACAATGACAGAAAATAAAAAATAAAAATGCAGAAAGTGTTGTTCAGAAAGCACTTAGTATGTATGAGCTATTTGAAAAGTATAATTTGTGTGTCCTATTCAGAAACAGTTTACTTTCCTACAAGGGAAATGAATTAGATGATACTCTCAAATAGTGTAGATGCTAGGGTAAGACTGGCCATATTCAAAAACCTAGCTCTACTGCTTATTGACAGAACCTTATAGACAAGCTACCTAAGTTCTCTAAGCAGGCGTTTTTGCCCATAGGACAGGGCTATAGAGAGTAAGTACTTAATTCAGTTATTACATGATAGTGCAATAATTAAAATTTTTAATAAAAGTTAGTTGTCTTTTTTATAACTAAAATCTATTGGAAAAGTAAAAGATCTATTCTTTAATAGGGTTAAATGAAATTTTGATTGTAAGAGTCTTGTCCTGGTCAGAAAAAGTTGCATAAGGTAAGGCATGGGAACATCATAGTTTTGCATTTACTTGGCACTGTGGGGAAGGATGTGAAGTCCTATCATGCATTCCTTCCTCAAAGAATGTAATTGAATTTCACATTACAGTGTGTCCAGGTAGGAAAGAATATAACGATGAAGAATCTGCAATCTATAATTTGTGTATTAAATACTTAGCTTTTTTACAAATAGAATTTTTTATCAAGATTTGATTGCAGTGCTATAGAAACTCTTATTAAAAGCTATCATTGTCTCACATGTACCCTCATGCTGATGTGTCAATTGTAAATAGAGGTATTTGATCTTTAATACTTTTTCCCCCTCTGAGAGAGAACATGAAACAGGTTCACTGATGGTTTTCTTTATGTGCTTATTTGTTCTATGTGCTGTTCCAGAAAGGATACAAGTCTTTCTTTATTGAATTAATTACCAGTCTGATTTTATTAGCAGTCACTTCAGTGAAAATGGCCAATCAAATCTCATGCCATCTTGATAACAGTAATTTGATTGTTTTTATAGTTCAGTTTCTTCAAGCATTTTGTAGGAGGTTGTAGTATTTGAAAACACCTTCTGACATGTACTCGTGCAGACTTTACAAGGAGCTTAATTCTGATTACCTAAAAATTGTTTGGCCCAGCCCAGTAACACTTAACTAAAAACACTGACTGGATACCAGATACTGTCCTGAATAGGTCTTCAGAAACACATCAGGAACCTTCAAGGGGTACTTCAGTGAAATAGTGTCATTTTTAGTGACACTACAGTGGTATTTTCTGGATTGTCTACATGGTTTAGTAGTGTTTCTCAAACTTTTCCCCACAATAATGGGGTGCCCACTATTGTGCCCTATACCTATTCATCGCATTATTCATATTATTAATAATTTATATTTGTTATAATAATTGTTTATATTATTATTTGCTTTGTTACAACACAAGTTCCAAGAGAACAAGTGCATCTTATTCATTACAGTATCCCGAAATCTTAATAATGGCTGGCATTTAGTAGGCATGTAATACATTTTTATAACATGACAGACTTCTGGAAATTACCCTAATGGCCACTATGAGTCAACTTATACTTATGAAGCCATTTCCTTTAAAAATTAGAAAATAGCTTTGAAGTCATATGTTTTATTTACTTTTAAAATGTATGTGACTTTTAAATCCTCATCAATTATTTGTCTCTTAGTGTATTGCTATTCTCAAAAAAATTGATAGTTCTGGGATATGTGTCCTGGTTTTTAAGGACAAACCTGTGTGTGTAACATACAAGCTTGGAAAGTGAAACTCTTCAAACTCTGCCATGATTTTTAGCTAATATCTTAAAGTTGAGTTAGCACCTGAAAAATGGAGCTAAGAAATTGCCTCAATTTTTTTTTTTTTTAAATTAGTACATGTTGCAGTACATAGTGTTCACATTCCTTGTGTGGAGTTGACACATTTGAATTCCTCTTTTCATCCTTTTCCCTCCCCTCCCCGTCCCCTCCCTTCAACTCTTGATCCCTTTCCCATTTGAGATCTGTCTCCTGCTTCCCCTTAGCTATCCCTTATTTTGCACGTTATTTATAATTTGGGTTTCTCATGTAAGAGGAACACTGTGATATTTAGGCTTATGTCTGATTTTTTTTTATTTAACATTATACAAATGTTAAATAAAAATTTTCCTACAAATGACTTTTCTTTCTGGCAGAATAGTGCTGCATTGTGTGTAAATACTACATTTTTATATCCAGTCATCTGTTAATGGACACATAGGCTGCTTCCAAGATATAGTTAACAGCAAAATGAAAATTTATTGAGAGCATTTGGCATACCTAATATACACTGAACTTTTGGTTTGTCTTTTTTCTTATTAGAAAACTTCCAGTTTTCGTTCTAAGGAATTTAATTTATACCAGATTTTTCTCATTAAGTATACAGAGACAAAAACTTTCACCTAATAACCAAGTGTGTTCCAGTATTTGAGACTGGGTTATGGCTATCCATCTGAGGGGACAGCATTCTTTTACTGTGTGTAGTGAATACCTCAAATGAAAATTCTCTTGGCAGAATTTTTAAGCAATTCTAATAAAGCCCACAGAAAAAAATTAAATTGAGCTAATTTTTTATTACAATTTGTTTAAAACAGGGTTACTTGTCCTAGACAAGTAAGACTTTATAGAATCTGTGCTTTATTGCACTATACAGACACTAGAAATGTAATAATACTGATATAATGTATGGGAAATTAAGAATGGCATTCTCCAGAAGACATGCAGATTCTCAGTGATTGTTGCAAGGGATCAGGAAAGAGATTTTTGGTCCAAAGAAGACATCTCTGAAAAAAAGTAGAACATCAGTTAAACTCAGCCGAAAGCTAAGATACATATTACCTTTTATATATTAGTTAAAAATGGACAGTCATCCCCAGGATATCACACACATATAACTATTCTTTTTAGGGGAATAAAGTACAAAGAGATGAGTGGGAGGACTTGGCATGGGAGCAACAGAGATCAAGAAGGTAATTGCTGCTTCTTCTTTCCCTCCAATTGTCATGATATACAAGCATTTACCTCCAAAGGAAAGAAGAGTGGGATAGTTTCAAAACTGCTATTATATGTCAAATTTCATTTTTCTGATATCAGAATGGACCATGAACTTTTAAGTCCACAGGTAAGAAAGAGAAAATTAAAGTGTTCTTAGAAAGGCATGGGAAAGAAACTACTCAAAAGGAAAGAACTGGAATGGGAAAAGAAGAAAAGAAAGAAGGAATATATATACATATATATATATATATATATATATATATATATATATATATATATGTGTGTGTGTGTGTGTGTGTCTGTGTGTGTGTGTATATATATATATATATGATAGCTAAGGTAATTGTACTACTAATTTTTATTACTCCATTGAAAGGAACAGTTAGTGTTTATATTGTTTGATCAATTTTTCATGCCTGTACCTAGTAGTCTGAGCAACTGCTTTGAAGATAACAATATGCAATATAATAACCATTGTTAATTTCCTGTCATCTTGTTTTGAAAATCTGTATCACTTTTATTGCTTTTTAATTTTCTTTAAAATAAAAATAAAGAGTCATTAAATTTCTAGGTTTTATAGAGACAGAAGAAATGTTTAAAAGTTTCTCAATTCTTGAGTCTGGTGTGGTGGTGCACGCCTGTAATCCCAGTACTCAGGAGGCTGAGGCAAGAGGGTCATTGCAGGATTGAGACCAGCCTGGGCTACAAAGGGAGCTCGAGGCCAGCCTGAACTGCATCGCAAAACCATGTCTCAAAAAAAAAAAAAAAAAAAAAAAAGAGGCAAACAAAACAAAACAAAAAAATTTCTCAATTCTCTTCTGCTCATAAAGATCACAAAAGGTAAAGTATAAAAATGCATGGAATACTATAGTATAAATTGTACATATGTGCAAGGTGGTGTTATGATTATGGCTTAGAAAAATATTTAGCAAAGTAAATCTCTTGCTACTGGGAAAATGGCATTTCAAAATCTAAGAGAAACTGCTTCTGTGTATCTACACTCTTGTTCAAATACATGAACACAAATAATGACAGTCAAATTATGAACCAAATACAAGTCCCTTTTAGCAAATTGGTTTCAAGTAATACAATAAGAAAAATGGAGCACTGTATTTTCATATTACTTGACATTTCATTTTTGTAGTACAGAAAAAGTTAAATCATTTCGTGAGATTAATTAGCCAAGTTGTTGGGTGTAATGATTTTCAAACCTTTATGTGTATCAAAGTCCCCTGGAGGGTTTGTTAAACCATATTTGCCAGGTTCCACCTCCAGAATTTCTGAGGGGTCTGGGTGGGGGTCCAAGGATCAATGTACATATTTAAACAAACTCAGGTAATGATGAAGCTGATATTCTGGGAAACTTATTTTGAGAACCAACTGTCTTGGTAGAAAAAACTCTGGTTCAAGTCTAAGTAGCTGGGTTCTAGATTCAGCATTGAATCATTCTAAAACATGATTTTAGAACGGAAAGCTAATCACACTTGTTGATTTATCTATCATTGTTTTATGCTTAAGGTATATCTACTTTCAAAAAAAAATTTATTTTGGATTTTTATTTAGTTCATTTCTGGTTAACTCATACACAGAACTGGGAAATTTTTCTTTGACCATCATTCAACTTTTTGTGTAGCTAGTCATTTCGTACTCTTTACTGTTCGGTAGCACTCTAACATCTTTTATCTAAAAGCTTATATTTTTAAATCGGTGGAAGATGGCAACCTTGAGGTTCATTTCTGCTACCAATAGATTTTTTTTTTCTGGTCCTGAGCATTGCACCCAAGGCCTTCACACCTGAGTACCCTGAACCTTCCCCAGCCCTTTTTAAGAGAGGGTTCACTTAAGTTGTCTAATCTGATCTTGAACTTGCAATCTTCCGGTCTCAGCCTCCCAAAGTACTGGGATTACAGCTCTGTGCCAATATGCCCAGCTCCAATAATTTTTTTAATAGTAAAAAATAAGAATGTAGAATTTAACAGAGTGATGTGTTAAAAATGTTCTGATTTTCATTTAGTTTTATTAAATTGCCAAACTCTTAAACAAAAATACTTAATTCCTCACACAGTGGTGGTTCTAGAAAACATTTGGGACTTGGACAGGATTTACTTTAAAAATAATTGCAGCAACGCATTCTGAGGGAAATGTCTTTAAAAGATTGTTTTCTGCATCTAATTCATAGAAATACATTTTATGATTTCATTTCCTTACCTTGGGCAACAGAGCAACTCACTGAAATTGCAGTAGCAGGCCATCTCACATCCCTTCCCATCCCAGAAATGATCTGGGACATTTACATCAATCTGTGTCAGCTCAGTGACCCCTTCTGGAAGGCTGTGACAATTGCGATCTTTCAGTATTTTTCTGTAGCAAGACAGGCGATTTGAAGGCATGCCTTGGGCTGCTAGCAGCAAAGTCAGCCCAGCAGTGACAAATACCATAAATTTCATTTTGGCTTTCGGGCCTGAGATAGAAGAAAAACCAGAATGTGTCAGTCTTTGTTTTATAAAAGATGGAATTCATGTGAATATAAAATTCTATGGCATTCCCCTAAACTCTTGGGTAAAAGGAGGTAGTCTTTTCTGTGATCCTCTGTGCTCCTCCAAGTATAGTTTTCTGACCATCTAGAGTAAAAGTAACTTAAAATATTTGTTAAAAATCGAGTGCTTGGATTCCATAAAAAATATGAAATGAGAAATGTAGAGGGAGGACAGGATACAGTGGTGAGAGAATCTGCATTTAATAAGGTCCTCTGACGTGTATGTGTTTGTACCTTCAGTAGAGAACAACTGCTTTTACAAAGGTATCACTCAGGTAAATTAAAAGAACGAGTAACTTCATTAACATAATGAATCTTAATGCTCAAAGTATGGCTCTGTGGTACAGCAATTGCCTGGCATGTGTGAGGCCTTGGGTTTGATCTCCAACACTGGAAAAACAGACAGATAAAAAACAAATAATGAGTCTTTACCTTGTATATCTTACATCTTCACAATAACATTGTCAAAGAACCAAGCTTCTATCCTGACAGAAATGAAAAACTGATATTGATAGATGATACTCTATAGATATATTTATAGTTTGGCTAAGTTTTTTAACTCTTCCAGAATTACTTTTAGGGCTTATTTGTATTGCAAATTCTTATTAATGTCTTTTATCTATATAGACGGTGTCATCTTAGCTACAATTGAAAATAGCAGCTTGAATTCCTGCTTATAAACATACCAGTGATGGTGAACTTTCAATGATACAAACAGCCCTCTGTGACACGCATGCCATGGGTTGGCCACCATTGATACTCTGCCTTTGCATACTTGCTGTCATGTTAACACATTCCACTGATATTTTGCTTATGGTAAAATATTTTTCTGTAGCTTTTACCCAACAGTCCTGTCTTGAACCCTTGAGTTCATATTAAACAAGTCTAATTCCTCTTCCAGGAGATATTTAAATATATCTTTTGCATCTAACTACAGAATATCCATCCTCTCTGTAATCAGGCTCCTCTGGCTTCTATTTTAGACGTCAAGAAAACACAGGCTGGACTGGGGATTTAGCTCAGCGGCAAAAGCGCCTGCCTGGCAAGCGCAAGGTCGTGAGTTCGGTTCCTGGTACGGGAGAAAAACCAAAAAAAAAAAAAAGAAAAAAGAAAACACAGGCTGTTTTAGCAAAGGAAGAACGGCGGAGAATACACAGCCATTCAGATTTCATCTTGGTGACGAGTGCCAATGTATCTTTCCCAGCATGGAAAGAGAGAAAGAGATAAAGAGTATCTGTCATTACATATTGTACATTGAAAGAAAATATTGCTGAAAGAAAATTTTAGTATGGAATTTTCAGCGATTAGACACATATTAATGGTAAATCATTTCAGGTGAGATATTAGATTTTTGAATAAACATTTATTATTTTCTTTAAGTTTAAAGAATAAAGAATATTTCATTTAAATAGTGAGTGTTTTAGCTTTTCTTCAACTTCACATTCTGAGCTAGTCATGTTTTGCTTTGCTTATATATTTTCTTAAAGTTATAAAGATCCAATTTAATTTCCACCTCCAAGTATTAGTGAGAAGACAAAAATGAGATCTGTTTCATTGTATATGTTTTCTTAATGGAGCAAGACATAACTGTAATACAGTGCATCATAATCTAATACACATACATGCAAGCACATGTCTGATACTTTTTGGTAGGCTTTTGCAGATAATAGTTTAAATTTCATATTTTAAAATATAGTTGTACCTTTAAATTACCTCAGATTAGGATCTTTCTTAATACCTGTAAGATATACAATTTTAAAAAGCTGTATTTCTTGACACTTTTTCAACTTAATCTTCAAGAAGGTAGTTAAAGCTACTGTGTATCAAGTATTTACTGTGTGGCAGGAATCACCACAACCATTAAGCTTTAAAAAATACTTGGTATGCAGCTGAACCCCTGCTATACAAGCAAAGATTTTTTAAATAGCTTTATTGAATTAATATGACATATGATAAACTGAAGATATTTAAACAGTTTGAAAAGTTTTGATGTGTATATCCTACAAACCCATCACCACAATCAAGATAGTAAGCGTACTTATCACCCCTAAATTCCTCATACTCTTTTGTAATCTCACCCTCCCTGACCCCCATTCTATATAGGCAACTACTGATGTGCTTTCTGAAACCAAATGCTAATTTTCATATGCTAGAGTTTCACATCAGTGCAATCATAAAATACACTCTTTTATGTGACATCTTACCAATCTTGAAATTTATATACATTGTATGTATCAGTAGCTAATTCCTTTTTATTGCTGAAAAGTGTCCCTATGTATATATTGTCTTTCCACCCAACAGTCAGTGAACATTTAAGCTGTTTTCACTTTGGGACTATATAAGTAAAATTTTTGTGAACACTTGTGTATAAGTCTTTATAGGATCATGGTGTTCATTATTCTTGGACGAATATTTAGATAGGGAATACAGACATTCCTTGTTTACCATTAAGCTACATTCCTGCTACTAGATTATTAACTGAATTGGTCGTTAAATGAGGCATTTTATATAGTATGCGCATTATAATATTCAGAACAAAGATATGGTCAAAGGAAATTCCAATTTGATGACTTATTTGCATAGCTCTTACATGCACTGCTGTAATGTATAAAAGAACATAACACTGTAGTACTGTACTGTTCAGTACAATCAGCAAACATTATACGACTGTATAAACAAGGTGTACTGTACAAAAAAGATACTGAAGATCTATAAACAAGATATATAGAACTGTACAAAAAGGCCGTATTACTTATTGTATATAGTGCATTACATGGATTGAAGATCTTTTTGCATGTGTTTGTCCAGTAATTTTAGTACATCAGAAAGACTTGTTTCTGCATTTAATATCTTTGCTTTTCTCAAATAGTTTTCAATAGAGGTGTGGGGCCATTTCCATATTCTCTGTTTTTTTTTTTCCATTGGTCTGGTTGTCTATCTTTATGCCAAAATGAATTTCTAAATCATAATTAGTAACACAAAGTGTTGTACAAATTAATGAGTTTCACTTTGGCATTTATACTCATGTATATATTGTGCTTTAATAATATCCATCCTCCCTTCTCCCCTTTCTTCTCCTTTCTTTCTGCCTCCCTCATTCTCTGTGCTCCAGTAGGCCCTCTTCTACTTTCAGGTGTTTTTGTTTTGTTTTGGTTTTTGTTCCCACATATAAGAAAAAGTATATAATACTTGTCTTTTTGTGGCTTCCTTATTTGACTTAACATGATGACTGCTTCCATCAACTTTCCTGAAATAACATGACTTTATTTGTTTTTATGTCTGAATAATTCTCCATTGTGTGTGTGTGTGTGTGTGTGTGTGTGTGTGTATATAATATATATATATATTATATATATATACACATATCTCATACTTTATCCATTCATCTATTGATGGGCATCAAGATTCCACATCCTACCTATGGTGAAAACTGCTACAATAACTATGGATATGCAGCTAACTCTGTATGCTGACTTTATTTCCTTCTTATATATAACCAGGAGTAGTAGAGCTAAAGTTGGCAGGTCTATTTTTAGTTCTTTGAGGACCCTCCATAGTGGATATACTAATGTGTATTCCCCCCAATAGTATATACAGTCTAGAAGTGTTCCTTTTCTCCATATCCTTACCAGTAGTTTGCGAAACTACGGCTTTGATTACTGGCACTATATGATAATTCTTGGAGTAAAGCAGAGTTAGTCCTTCAAATTTGTTCCTTTGCAAAGTTGTTTTGGTAATTATAGGTCTTTTGCATTTCTGGATGAATATTAATATCCACTCATTAATTTCTGTAGAAAAAGCCTCCTGGCATTTTGATTGAGTTTCCTTGACTTATAATATTACATCTCCTGACTCGTAAACATATTTTTCCATACTGTGTGCTCACTTACTTATAGATTTTTTTTTTGTTTTTTTGAGGCAGGGTCTTGCTATGTGGATCAGGCTGCCTTTGAACTCACTTTGTAGCCCAGGCTGGCCTTTATCTCACAGCAATCCTCCTGCCTCAGCTTCCTGAGTGCTGGGACCATAGGCGTGGACCTTCACGCCTGGCTATTTCTAGATTTATATTAAAATTTTGTTTCTTTTAGACTGTAACAAGAATATTTAATATGATATCTATCTCTTAACAGATTTTTAAAGTGTATAACCACTATAGTATTTTTATCTGTAAACACAATGTTGTGCAGCAGATCCCTAGTGCTTATTTCTCTTGCACAAATGAAATTTTTACCTCTTGATGAACAACTCCCATTGCCCCATTCTCTAGCTTCCAACAACCAATATTAGATTCTTGGTTTTAATGAGTTTTACTATTTTTGATATCTCACATAAATAAAATTAGCAGTATTTGTCTCTCAGTGACCAGTTTATTTCACGTGGTCTAATATGCTTAAGGTTCATCTAGAGGGCTACATACTGCAGAATACTATTCTTTAGTAAGAATGAGTCATATTCCACACTACGTGTATACAGTTGATGCATACAACTATAAGCTACATTTATAAAATCCCTTTTACCTATCAATAGACATTTAGGCTGTTTTTACATCTTGGCTATTGCGAATGGTGCTACTGTGAACGTGGAAGTCCTAGTAGGTCTTTGAGATCCTGATTTTAGCTCTTTGGAATATATGTACCCCAAAACAGAATGCCTCTATCATATGGTAGTTCTGTTTTAAAATTTTTGAGAAGCCTCTTTATTGTCTTCCATAGCAGCTGCACAATTTTGATTCCTATTGACTGTATATAAGGGTTCTAATTTCTCCACATCCTTACCAAAATTTGTCTTGTTTTGTAGCTTTCATTTGCATTTCCCTGATGTTAGTGATCTTGAGGATGATAGATAGATAGATAGATAGATAGATAGATATTGACCATTTGGATATCTTCTTCGGAGAAATGTCTATTCAAGCCTATGATCCATGT